TTTTTTTACTTTACTTGTTCTCTGTGTGTGTGTGTGTGTGTGTGTGTGTGTGTGTGTGTGTGTGTGTGTGTGTGTATATATAATCTTCCAACTGTATTTTCCACTTCATGCATCCGATGAAGTGGGTTTTAGCCCACGAAAGCTTATGCCTAAATAAATGTGTTAGTCTCTAAGGTGCCACAAGTACTCCTCGTTCTTTTTGTCCTGTCTGAGCATAACTGGTCTGGGATTTTGCATTTCACTGCCTCATTCAGACGCTCCGGTGATCCCCCAAAGCCACATGGTCACATTCCCAGTGTTAGTGCCATCACTGTGGTTATTTGCCCCTTAGTGATAACACCAACGAGCCACTTATCCTCCTGGGCTCATGTGAACATTCATGCTGCCCAATCCGCCCAGGACTGAGAAGAGTGGGGCATGCTCAGAGCATATCATGAGAGAGCGAGAGCTCAGCTGCTTTTGTGGCACAATCATCCACAGGCCCCAGACTGTGCAGTGATCCCTCCGTGGGGAAGAAAAGGGTGGGTGCATGGCAAGGAATGGGGCTAGAGGAACATACATCATGCCCCTTCCCCAGTCCTCACAAAAATATTGGGAAACGTTAATACTCGATCCAGGCTCTTAATATTTCTGTGTTCAGCTGTTTGCCCTCCCTCCCAAGGCCATTTTGCTTGTGTGTCATTAGACATGGAGACATAGGTGGCCAGGAGTCAGTATGGAAGCCCAGGACCTTCATGCAGGCCCTGTGGGCTATATAGATTTAATGGCATCCTTGAGATCTCAGGGCATAAGGGAAGAATTTGCAGGACACCCGAGGAGCATGACTTCCTGGCATTTCTCTCTTCCCCTCTGCCCCCAGGCTCCCTCCCAGGGGTTTTCCCATGGGGAGAGAGTGATCTGGCCCAGAATTATGACGATAATTGTTAGTAATGATAGCAGAACTGGAATCATCTTACGATGCATTACAAACTGCTAACAGCTTGTTCCCCGCAGCGTGAGTTTTGTGTGCTTTATTTCGATGAAGTCTCATCTTTTCAGTCCACTGCTGCAGTCTATTAGCCTGGCACAAAGCTCCAGCTCAAATCTAATGGCCAGTCTAATGGTACAAAGCAAAGTTAAAAGAGACAGCTATTCTAATGAGCAACACTCTCCTAGTTGCTTCCAATTCTGTACCAGAGTGTCCTCCAAGGCAGATGAGAGGCAGCTTATTGCTGTTACCATCTGCCGCTCTGCCGTCGCTGCTACAGCCAAGATGGAAGTTAACAGAAGGTTGCAGTGTTGGTGAAACCAGTGAAAACTCACATCTCAAAGGTTGTGTGGTAAGAGAGAGGGCTTTTCTCTATTGGCCTTGAATCTGTTTTTCAAAGTGGAAGGCAGTTTGTGTCGTGGTTAAGGTGACAACACTCCTTGAAGAGCTGTTTGACTTGCAAAAAGAATGAGATAAATTCACAAATGTGCGTGCATTGAATTTTTACGTGTGCTGGTGAAAATGATGACCCTCTGCCCTGGAGTAAATATTGTACGAGAGAGAGAGTGTGTGTGTGTGTCTGTCTGTGTGTGTGTTTCCCCAGTCCCTGATGACTGGGACTCTTAGACCAATCCTTCCTGAAGAATAGTCTGGGATCAGTTCAGGCTGGGGAAGAAGGAGTATATCTGGTGGTTAGACCAGAGGGATTGGGAAGTAGGAATCTTGGCTTTTACTCCAAACTCTGCCACTGATTCATTCTCTAATCTGTGTGAAATC